ACATACACAAAAGATGATCACAATGCAAAGAAATCGTAACAAAATTATCTATATTGTCACGTGGCACTTTCGTGTTTAATCTTTATAACTTTTCCATCTGCCAGTGTGATTTTGTCATTCTCAACTTTCACTTTGCCAGCCTTGAAATCGTCCTCTAGCTTTGGGGCATAAACTGAATTGAAAATTTCAACTGGAGTTAGAGGTCCTTGGTTTATTTCTGTTGCTTTATAAGACACATAAGGCTTCAACTGGAAGAAAAAAAAATATTTAGAGATAATATTTTCCAAGAGAATTAGAAGGTATTAATAGACAAGAGAACTTGAGAATATTATTATATCAGAGAATAACTAGGAGATATTATTGATCAAGGTCACCAGGCCATAATTGGATGAATTTTCTTTCATTTTTATCAAAACATCTTGAATCGAAAAACTGGAAAAACAAATTTTTTTTATTACATTTCAAAAATTATTTTAGCAGTTCACCATGTAGCGGAAAGATTTAAAAACATTTACTCAGGTCACTACCTCGTCAGATGTGTCTTGAACTATGACAGTAGAGTTGTGATCAATTAAAATATGCAAAGAAATATTTTTTAAGACAAGGGAAAATGGTAAAAATGTTTAATTAGTACAAATACAAATTTAAATGCTAAAACAGGGAATGATGCATAATGTTAAATATATAATGGCAGCACTAGATACAGTAATTTTATGTGAAAAAATGCTGAATTTAATATAGAGAAATAACAAAAAAAAAGAGAACACATGAAAAAGGGTTCTCTCTTTTAAAAATATTACTGTATAATTATTATAGGCAATGATTTATCTTTACCAATCTGAACTAAGTGTGTAAGAATAAGTGCTCTCAGTTAAACAGAAAACAGTGTTATTACATGCCAAAAATAGATTTTTCTGTAAAAAGAGAAGACTTTTAATATCTGTTTACCACTTGTTGGCCTTGAAACTTAAGATCATTTATTGACCCATTCAAATAGATGTTCAACTTGAATACACCATCTTATTGACCCATTCAACGTGACTTGAATACACTAGATCTTATTTGTTTGTAACAACAATAAGTCAACTTATATTACAACATCTAAGACAATCATAACAATGATTCACAACTACTGACATTAGCTGAACTAAGAAAAAAGGTTTATCATCATAAACATTTGTCTTTTGTGTGCCTCATGGAACTTATGGCCTCAGTTAAAACATGCCAATCTCCACGGTCTTTTAGCATTTTTTTTAATGGCTTCTCAGATCTTCCCTGTCCTCTTAGCTTTATCTAGTACACTGTCGCCATGGTCTTCCTCTGCATCTTGTGCCCAGGGGGAGTTCCAATCTAAGGCCTGTCTAGCTCTCCACTTTTTCTCTATCCACCCCTTTCCTACAGTTTGGTGTTTTCTACTTTGTCATACCACTGTATTTCAAACATCTGATGATGAAGGTCTGACCTTTTTTTTTTGCTGTTGTCGCTTCAGTTGTTCTCTATGTTTCAGATCCTTAAAGTAAAACCGCCTTAACATTAGAGTTCAAGATTCTTATTTTACTCTTCTCAGAAATGTGTGGGAAGATTTCCAAGTGGTTCTAGTTGTCCGGAGCGCTAGATTTATTTGACATTTAATGGATCTTGCACATTTACTGTAATTATATCAAGCTGATTTTAGTAGATTGAAAAACAAGGTAAATCAATTCTGGGATCTTTACCTTAAATGGCATTGAAAAAAAAAAAAAGAAGACACAACTCTTCAGTAAGAACAATCATGCATCAACAGTCTTAGACCAGAATATATGATGTAAGTCTCAAAGTAGCCAGAAGTTAAACTAGAATTTTTTTTCCTGAATGTATATAATCAATTACCTCAAATCCAGTTAAATCTGGGACTATAAATTCAGGTACCATCTCTGGGATGTGAATGAATTCTTTAGTTACCCTGTGAATAATGCCAGTTGGTGCCACAACTGTAAAGAAATGGCAGTGACAGGAATTAATCAACTGAAATGTTTACAAGCCTACAGAGTAAACAGAGTAAAGAAACTTCTAATTGGTTTTCTTTATTTATTTTGAATTTAAAACTGCAATAAATATTAAAGCATATACATCACTTAAATCCACAAAAAGCATCTAGCAGCATGTGTGACCCAACATCATAGGTCATAGCTTTTCTGATTTTGTTTTCAAAAGTAATTCGTCTCAGTCAAAATAGTTAACTTATTGGACCTTATTATACTTTTAGGTATGATGCTAAGTAAGGTCATATGGAAGATTGAGAGTCGACAGTAAGAGAGTATACATATTTTTATTTTTACTGATACTCATTTCAGGTTACGTTTTAGAACTTGATTTTTTTTGTGCTAATAGAATATATATCTGGCCATATTTCCGCTAAGTTTTATCACGATACCTTGCTCACTTTAATTGTTATTGATTATAATGTTGATGCATAAATTTGCACTGCTCCCTATGGGATTTTTAAATTTTTTTTTTAAATTAAACTATTTTAAGAATAAAATCATGCATAGGCTAGTAGATAAAGCAATTATGTATAGGCCTAAATAGATCTTTAAGAGTTTTTTTGATCGCTTTTTATTTTAAAGCGCATTTGAAAAAAATTGTTTCAGGCGATTTTGATCCCACTTTTTAATTTCTCACATCACAATGCCGCCATTTTGTCCATACCCCTAAGACACTTCTTGTAGCTCTAGACCCGATAATTTGTTTATTTTATCAATTTTTACATTCTAAACAAGTGAAGTTCATAATTATAAATGAAATCAGATTTGTGAGCTAGAAATTTACTTATAATACTAGATCTACTATTAAATTTCTTATTTAATAAGTAGATCTATCGTCTATGAAACTCAATTCCAACTTTTTAACTTTTTTAGCGGGGAAGGGGGGGGGGGGGGGTCTTGCTGGCTAAGCCAGCTAGACGCTCTCATATTCATTGTTCCATGTCAACCAATGTTAGGTCAAAACGCCACAAAAAAATCAACTTTCTAACTGTATAACTTCCATTCATAATTTATACACCATTGGAAAGTTATTTCAAAGTATTTTAATGATGTACTAACGAAACATTTTTTTTTCAAAGATAATTTTTTTATTTCACATCCCTACATATTAACCAATGACCTAATAAATTCTGCCAAGTCCAAGTCACTGGTTTTCCTGGCTGGCTCAGCCTCTAGTGGCTCAAGCAACCCATTCCATGCTCGAATATCGCTCTATACCAGTATGTTTAGATCTATATTTTTTTTAAATGTATTGATTTAGATTATAGATCTAGAGAGACACAAAGTGTAACAATGACATCAAAGACAACTTCTCAGTCTTCTGTCAGACAAGTCACATGCCAAAAAAAAAGTTTTTTTATTTTAAAATTACTTTGCTCGGGTAAGGCTTCGGCCATTTCAACACTTCCTCCTTTAGCATCAGGACCAACATCTTCTTCCCTTACTGGGAATCTTTTATCCCAAGGTTTACGTGACTTTATTCCACAAAGACAAGATGATCTGCTAAGATTTCGCTTAGCACAATGTAAAATAATTGCATACGACCTCAGCAACATTTTGTTTTTAACATAACAGGAAGTGTCTTAACCGTATATCGCTAATGAGTTTGTTGTCGTAATCGGAAAAAGTTATGTTTTTTCATCTTGTCGCAATGAGATACAAAAACATTACCTATATAAATTTAGGTATTGGGCACTTCGTGAGGGAAAAAGCCATTAGATTAGAGTTTAGACCTAGATCTTTATTTTGTGTGGTCTACTCTATCTGTCCATCCGTCAGGTTTAGATAACAAGAAATAATATGAAAAATCCAACATGATATTATTTTGCAGATTAATAAGTTTAGGTGCTATAGAAGCTTTTTTCTTCTTTTGAAAGTGGTTTTATTTTAAATTAATCAATCAAAAGTTATTTCATCGTAAAATTACACTACTTTTAAGATACATGAAAAGGGAGGTTATATAAGGAAGTGAAACAATAATTACATTAAAAAACAACAACTTATATACCTACAGTTTTGTCATTTTGTATCTAATATATATAATTTATAATCTTAAACTTAATTTGAGTGTATTCTTGTATATTCTATAGATACTAACAGTTAGCAGTAAACATTTATTATTGTAAAAAAAACAATAACTAAAAATTCACATTTTATATACATGTATCCTAGTTAATTTTTGAGAAAGAGAATTGATAGGCAGTGGTCCATCCATGTTATTCAGTATTGGTATGCTGCACTGCAGTCTACATAATAGAGTTGTGCAAGAGGCCCTTAACCCTTTGATCAATAGGACCACAGAGTGTGATGCTTGTGAAGACTGGTGTGGCAGAAGGGACCGAGCATGTTATTGGAGTATGGAAGGCATATACAGAATGTAATTGAAATCTGTCTTACTATCTGTTTCTATGACCCACAATTAACTAGGTTGTCAAGTGGCCAGCACAAAGACCAACGGCATTCATTTTTTCCCAACTAATGTCAGAGCTGGCTGGACTCAGAGGTGCCCTAATGATCTCAAAATTAAAAATCCCAGTCAGCATCAGGATTCTAACCAGGGACCCCTTGGTTCGAAAACCAAGCACTTTACCTCCTACAAATAGATAATGGTCTTTACTTTGAGGTGATTTCTGCATGATTATTTTATTAGCCAAGTTGGTTATGTCAGCTGTAAAGACCAGAAATTACAATCCTTGGTTGATGATCCATACGCTCATCAATTTGCCTAGAAAACAGTTGTTTAATTGCATACAAAGCACTAAAAGGTTAGAAGGCAAATATATCACATACATGGCATAGGCACAACAACAGGATATCTTTTGAACGTTTCGAAAACTATATTCACACAAAGGAGATTTTCAAAGGTTCAAAGAAAGCTGTCTAGAAACTACACCATTATTGCAGATGCTTCCAGAAACATAAACGTTGCCAGGCATCACTAGAAAGTATGAAGGAAGTAAAAAAAAAAGTCATTCAATTCAGTTCTTTCAATACATTTTATTTTTACACGAAGCTACTAATTAGATGACACATTGTGTTCAAAGTAATTTGACTTAGTTTTATAATTATACTGCCTGGGTATTATTTGTTATTTTTCAACCTGCTTCATTTTATGGCTAGGAAAAAAATAGGTAGCTCATCTTTTAAAATCTCATTTCAAAATAATGCCACGTTGATAATTAAAGCCTTGGGATAACATTTTCACTTTTACCTAATCAACAAATTGTGCTATATGGCTGAAGACATGTAGATATGAAACAAATAGAGGGGAAGGGGGGAGATAGGTGAATGGGTGATATTAAAGACTAACTCAAACTTTCAAGTGTACGTTTGAGGGAGATAGGTGAATGGGTGATTATATTTAAGGCTAACTCAAGCTTTCAAGTGGATATTTACTCTATTCACAAAAGTGTGTGTGAAGTAAACGTTTATGCAGTTTTGTTATTTCGAATGTAAGAAATTGTACAACAAGTCCTTTTAGTTTTATTTCATTCATGGTTACAAACAAGGATTTCCCTACTGATTTAATAATAACAGCTAAGGTAATCAGAATATATAAATCAAAATGAAATATATCATTTATTATAAATGCGATTTTAAATAATAAATATACATGGGGCATTAATAAACATTTCTTATAACAAATAACATTTTACTGGTAACATCAAGTTAAAAAAAAATATACACATTATTATAACAGTTTAAAAGATTCTCATTAAAATGTTAACAACAGCCTTTTGTTCAAACAATCGATTCCTATACCATCAAGGTATCAGTACTTATATAGCCCTGTGATACTACTTGGATGTGCCAGATAACCACAGCAACAATAACAATATTTACAAGCACAACATTTTTCAACATCTTCGGACTAGCAAACTTAATTAGATAAAGTTTTTTTTTTTTTTTTTTTCCATTTTGACAAATTATAATAATATTTTTGTCAAAATTTTAATTTCATATTTTTTCTCATTTTCAAACATGGGTATTGCAAATGTTAAAAAGTTATAGAATCTAATAAGTTATTATAATTTCATATACATTTTTTCTTTTTAAATAGCTTGTGTATATAATACAAAGTTGGGATGTTTTTTCTTCTGCAAGAAATGTATTAGTTTTAAAGTGTGATCACAAATGAACATTAAAATCGTGTCAATTTAAGAGGGAAATTCTCTGTCACAAGGTGATCATCCACAAACACCACAACAATGTTGATCTCAAAGTCTGAAATGAGAAATGTGAATTGAATGAAATGGCTGTAATTAAATAAATGGGATTTTGTAGAAAATAATTTAGGCTAGGTATTTGATATTTTTGGCACATCGGCACTATTTAGACCATGATCCCTCGAGGGTTACTTCCCTTTATAGCTCAAGCGCTAACTGTTAAGCAAAGTTCTTAAGGCTAGGTTTTTAGTGGTCCCTAGGTAAGTTTAAGTTCACCCAAATGACTAACAGGTGTGAGAGTATATGATGGCTGCCTGGTCATGAGGACTGTTGTTCAGGGGACTCAGATTCGAACCCTAACCGTTGATTTCTGTCCAGTGGAAGATTTGAGCTAGAATGTAATAATCTTCAAATCTGAAGGAACATCCAATTTTTTTTTTTAAAAAGATCAACGTTAAGCTGTTATTGTTTTGTTTTGTCCATAACAAATTTTGTGAGGTAATTAACTCATTAGCTACTAAGCCCATACCTAAGCAGCATCTCTCTAAATACTAAGCAAAGGGAGGTAACTCCAAAACAGAAATAGACTGACTTTAAAAATATATTTTAAAAAACATCTATCAATAACAAAAAATACTTCTAAAAAAAGAGAAATGGATGACCTTTAAAATGATGTATAATCTGAATAGTTTTTAATAAAAACAACAGGTAAAGATGAAAATTTGTTTGAGTGCCTGATTTTTTGAAGACTGGTGGACCTCCCCCCCCCCCCCCCCCCCCATCAGATCTGTAATTTTTGGTAAGCTTTATCATTTACCCAAAGACCAGTAATGTTTATAAGTAGGAATTTAGTAGGCCTATACAATAAACATTATGCTTATTATATAAAATCTGTATATTATGTCTTGAGTATTTACTGACTTTCACTGGGTGTGCTAGAGGCCCTTAGTTGCCATCATCCTGATGTGGTTCTGCATGTGTCTCAGGTTTCATTACTTCTAGTATAACAAAGTAAAAGTAATCAAACCATTGTCCAAACCAACGTTGTGAACACCCCCAACTAGATCTATTTCATCAAAAGTTTTCATGTGGTAAATAAAAACTGTTCAAAATATCAGTCAAAGAAGTTGAAGATTCATTGACGCTAGATCCAGAATAGTCTATATCTAGACTAGATGATAGATCTAATGCTTACTTCACTCTCTCTCTGAATCGGACTAGATCTAAGTCTAAATGTAGCGCTAAATTCTAATGATCAATGTCTTGATCAATATCAAGTTCATTATTAGCTGTATTTAGTGTATTATTTGCGATAACGGGTCTAAAAATTGAAAGGTCATTGAGAAAATGGCCTGCGCAGCTAAGGAAAACCGAAAAAAAAAAACCCACCAAACTTTAAAGGCCCATAGAAACTGAAGCGAAAGACGTAAAAACATCCATTTTTTTTAACGAAACGATCTATATTTCTACTTTTTAAAAAAACCCAGCTAGCTCAAAATAACACCGCGCGTCGCGCAGGAAAACGAGAGCTACACAAGTCACGCTGTGTGTGTGCTGTGGCGGCGCATTTGGGCGCATTAGTAGCTAATGAGTTAAAAGGCAACTGTTCTGCTTCTACAGAGAATTACAGTAATGTATAACAATGGACACAGGAGTAAATACATAAAGACATAGATATTAAATATTAAAGTTCTTATTTTATTACATCACATCCTTTCCAGCATTTTCAACAATAAACAATGACATAATACATAAACAGCTTGTTTCTTTCAGACATGTGTTTTCAAAAATGTAAGCATTGTGGAGGAAGAAGAATTTCTAGCTTGCTCTTCACTGATGCCTCGCAGGGGCAGAAGAAGAACTAGCTGATTTGGTGAAGTGCATAGACAAAGAGTTCCGCAGCATATGTTATGCAATTAAATGCTGAAAAAACTCAAATTATGACTGATAGCCAACAGGGCTTTAAAAGGGGCATCAGCATTGGAGGTGAAAAGCTGACAAGTGTCAGTAGTTTTAAATACCACAGAGCTATAGTCTCAGATGAGGGAGCCAAACCTGAACAACTGGCCCAATTGCACAGTCTACAGAAGCATTGGCAAAACTCAAAACAATATGAAAAGATAAAGGTTTAGCCCTTGACACCAAAGTCAGACTGATGCGCTCCCTGGTCATGGCCACATTCTTATATGCTTGCGAGTCTTGGACACTGACACAGAGCTAAAGAGGAGGATCCTAGCAATGGAATTGAGATGCTACAGAAGGATCCTAGGTATCAAATTTAAAGACTGCTTCACAAACGAAGAGATTAGAGATAGTTGCTACAGCGAATGGACCGCACAATGTCCTGTTAACTATTGTAAATAACAGAAACTAAAACTGTCCATATTACAAGGTCTTCAGGGCTTGCAAAGACCTTCCTTCAAGGAACAGTACCAGGAAAAGAAGAAGAGGCAGACAGAGAAACCGATGGTAAGGCAACATACAAAGAATGGACGGGTCTGTCAGTGAATGAAATTCTATTCAAGGCAAAAGACAGAGAGGAATGGAGAAAGAGGGTTGACAGTTCTTGTATGGTGCCCCAATGGTCCAACAAACTAAGGGATAGGTAATGGTGAATACCACAGTGTATAAGGCCTATCATTGAAATTTAGTGATAATGAGACTTTTTTTCTGTCCTAAAAGTATATAAAATATCCAATTTTTGAATCTAAATATTTTCTATTGTTTAATGTACTTATTTTTTAAGGAATATGATAAATATATTTTTTTGTTTCCTAAGGATTTTAATGCAACTTTTAAAGCAGAAACAGGATTGAATGAAGTAAATCTTAAAATGAACTTGCCAACTTACCAACTTTAAAATTATTTGTTGATAGTGACGGACATGTAAACAATCTAGGAAAAACCATGTAGATTGGAATAGCCATGTTACGAGCCACATCTCCATCAGCTATTTGGATGTTCTGTATCTCAGTGGCTGAGGACACACAATATGAATGTTATTAGCCAGCAAGCAAAGGGAGGTTAGTGAAATAAAAAACCTAAGATTTCCTGTCAGATTGTGAGTTTACTGAAACGTCTAAATTTATAGATCCCCAGACTATCTTATTTTTTATTTAGAGAAGAAGAGCAGAAAGAATATTAATGAGAAAAGGACAGATAGGTTTTAGTTGATGTCAGGTGTGTCAATATTTGTTTTTTTTCTTGTTGATAGATTGATGTTATTGAACTTTGTATACTTGTACATATTCTAGAAATGTTCAACTAACTGAGTTGAAATACAACATCTTGACTCTTAGCGCAAGTTGTTTCTTTAGTTGCATGTGAAGAGTACTAGAGCAAGGTACTGATCTTATCTTATCTTATATAATACAGACGTTACTTCAAAAAAGAAGATGATTACGTCCTACGCGTCATGCATTTAGTCATGCATATTAACCAATGACTTAAATTCTGCCAAGTCAATGGTTTTCCTGGCTAGCTCAGGCAACCCATTCCATGCTCTAATAGCACTAGGGAAGAAGGAGTATTTGTACAAATTTGTCCTAGCATATGGGATGAGGAATGTGCCTTTATCTTTGTGTCTTTCAGAGTATTTTATTAAATTTTGTTTTTGTATTTGAAGATTATGGTTCAGTGTTTTATGTATAATTGCTACTTTACTTTTGAGTCTTCTGTCCTGAAGACTTTCTAAATTTAGTGATTTTACTATAGGTGTTACTCTAGTCAAATGTGAATATTCATTTGTTATGAATCTCACTGCTCTATTTTGTGTCTGTTCCAGTTTCTTAATGTTTTCTTGAGTTGAGGGGTCCCAAATGGAGGATGCATATTCTATTATTGGCCTAACCAAGGTTAAATAACATTTTAGTTTTATGTTCTTATTTGATTTATAGAAATTTCTTTTAATAAATCCTAATGCTTTGTTTGATTTTTTTTATAGTTTCATCAATATGTGGATTCCATGACAGTTTTTCATTTATTATAACACCTAGGTATTTTGCGTTTTTAGTCTGTGTTACTGGTTTGCCATGAATAAGATAAGTGGAATTAATTTGTTTTAGTTTTTTTGTTACTCTTAACAACTGACATTTTTCTGGGTGGAAAGACATGCTCCAATTT